TTTATTTATTTATTTCTTTTTTATATATAACTTATTCTTGATTAACTGATATGAGCTCTGTTTTGAAAAAAGAAATAGAAGGGAGTAGCTCTTTTATCAAATGTGACTTAGCAGCAGTTTGCTCTATATTGGGCCATTTTTATGTGTTCATAGTTCTGCATCGATGATGTATCTTTTTGCTGAATGCATAGCATCAATGATTCAATGTTTTAGGAAGTTTTTCTTTCTTGAATTCTTGCTTGTCCTTCATTCAAATGTCTTCTGTATATGATTTTTCTGAATATCTATTTTAGTTGTTTACACTGTTATCCCAAGTGACTATTTCTTTTTTTACCTGAGTGTTCTGTAAGATATTGTTGAACTGTCTTCCTATGTGGTTTTTTGTAAGCAGTTATTGTCTATATGGTCGCTTTCCTTCAGCATCATATATGTCTTGATGTGCCTATATATGTGTGTATTTCACCTTTCTACTTTTGATTTGCTTTGTTCAGTTTTTCATGGATGATTGTCTCCAAAGGCTGATTGACATTATTGACTTGCAAGAGGATTTAACAAATTTAATACCCAGTCATTGCATTGCGAAGCTTGTGAGAATTCGCCTAGAAATGCAGGCTCCTTACATTTCAAAGTGGCCTCAAGCACTGAGCATACAGGTACACTTGTTTATCTCTTGTTGCTCGGTTAGGTTTGTTAAGTGGAATCTTTTTCTAGTTCAATCCTGCTTTATATTGTATTGTAGGTGCAACCCTTAAATATACCAACGAGCTTCAAGCAGCGGGCAATGCTTGTTGATGAGATTTGGCATGCTGCCAAGGATGAAGCTGTTGATATTGATTGGTATGCAAAGTGTACAGTCCTTGGTGGGATATATTCCACAACTGAGCTGTACATGCTGACTGATACTTCTGTAGGTAAGATCTCTTCTTTGAGTGTTTCCGTGTTCCATTGGCGTTGTTTATCTTGTATTTGTCGCCTTTATCAGAGCTTTATTTTGTATATTTACCTTGATCATCATCACATTGTAGGATCTTCCAACCTCAACACCTTGGTTCTCCAATTTCTCTTGCAACCAACCCTAAACATCACAACATTTTGTTGCTTATTTGATTTTGACTTTTATCCCCTCCTTCGACCTGTTACCATTAACACATCTAGGACATTTTTTACAGTTTCCTCATTGTTTTTATGTGTCCTTGTGGACTAGAAGAACTCCTATTTGGTTTGTGACTTTGTGTGCTTGTGAAGCCCGTTTAAAATTCAGATCAGCATGTACAAAAATGTAGTCGTCGAGTCTAGAAATATAAATGCTTTAGCCTCTGTTAATAGAGTTGGGTTAGCTTCCATTATTATTTAGGTATAGTAAAACCTTGATAAATGAATGTTAGATAAATTAATAATCTCTCTTAAATAATAAAATTATTCGGTCGTGACTTAGGCCAATGTACTAAATTAATAACCACGTTAAATGTATAATATAATTTTTTTTTTTTTTTTTTGCGATTCTTTAAGGCCCAACGAATATATAAAATAATAATTGCTTAAATTCGTAAAATTTCATACTAATACAAATTAACAAGCTTTTAATTTGACAACATTTTCTTCAATTCGCCTCATTTTCAAAATATGCATCTATTAAGTATTTTTCTATGCATCCAAATCAAACTCAACTTCATTGCTACTTTTTTGCAATACGCATAACACATTTGGCATTTTTTTTTTCCCAGTTTGTACGAAGTAATTAATTAAGATTACGACTGCTTGAAATACTTCTTTTAAAGAAACAATTGGTACAACACAACTATCATCTAGATTATGATCATCATTGTTAGGTGTATTAAGTATCCATTGAATAATATCTTCATCAGTAGGAGATTTCATCACCTCGTCACTGGATAGTTTAAAAGGTGCTCGACATCTATCACATTTCGATAGCATAGACCAAAAATAGCTTCACGCAATCCATTGATTCTTTCAACTTCACTAACTCTTGGTTCAATATTAATATCTTCATTTGACCGAATCTTGCGGATTTTTTAACTCCTTTCAAATGAGACGCCATGGTAGAAAAAATGTATGAAATTTGGAATGATTGGGGGTCTTAAGTTAAAACTAAGTACTGTAGAAATTATATTCAGGCCCCATTCGGGAGGGCTTAAAATCCAATTAAAATTGAAAATATGGCCGTTATTGGGTCCCACCCGTCTAATAAAAGTCAACAATAACAGCTACATTTTCAATTTTAATCTGATTTTAATCCCTCCCAAACAAGCTCTCAATATGTACATGAAATAATTTGAACGATTAATCTGTCAAGATATTAAATTTTGAAGCCATTGCATGTACATTAATGTTTCCTCTTTTAACGTATAAAGATTAAATTTTGAATTTCACCATTTTATTTTTTATTTTTAAATTTCCCACATGTATTATGATAAAATGTAATACAAGTTATAAAAATATAAAATACTTTGTAAATTAATAAATATTCATTTATCGATAAATTAATAACTCCTCTAAAATAATAATTTTTCTCAGTTGCTACATTATTATTATATTATAGAGGTTTTACTGTAGTTTTATTTTTCTCTTTCTTCTTCTAACCAGCTTTTAGTCACATTCTCTGTTTGTAGATTTTCAGGACACATGGGAATTCTTGGATGGAAGAATCAGAGATGCTTTTGATCTAAAGAAGTCGGTTCAAGAGGAAGTTACTGTTTGTCTTTACATGTTTGTTTGATACTTAAAACTGATGCTGTTGGTTTTGCCAGTTGTTATAGAGATTTGTTTCTCTAGGTTGTTTTCTCTTTATATTATTGATCTTATTAAATATTAAGGCCCTGTTTGTTTCGAATTAAAATTAGATTTTAATTTAAGTCAAAGTCAAACAATCAATATTAACCACATCTTTCATGGGTCCCACAGTTTTTCCACCACACATTTCAAAAAATTATATTATAATCTACTAAAAATCTAATTTTAATTTCCACCAAACACCAACTAAGTCATATTCTTGTTGTAATATATGCCCCATGCCCCTAAGTTAGTGCTATCTGTGAATCTCCATGAACTATAAAAAGGGACTTGATTGCTCGTGTGTATTTTAGGGAGGAGGCTATGTGATGTCTTTTCACGCTTGTCCAATGTAAACTATCTCATCCATGTCAATCTTTCTGTTCTAGAAGTTTATGTTAGTAGAAAATCATGATATTGGAATGCTTGCAAAGGTTGAGCTTTCTTGAAAAACTAGGGACATGGCACTCCCTGGCCTTGCCTGGACTACTTGGCAGAAGAAAGGATTAATATTTGCTATGAGAATTATATGAGCCTTTTGTTCAGAATATCCTGCTTAATTACATGCTTTTTGGGTGAGAGGAGAGACAATGTCATATAGTATTATAATCATTTGAGGAGTTATTGGGTTCTGATAAATAATAATCTTTCTTGATTTTCTGTTATTCCTGCGGCATTCATGAGTTTCATTTTCAGGGATCTTTTGTACTTAACTATCTTAATATGTTGGGGCATGTCCCGTGAATTTGCAAAGCATCAGCATATTCATGACAGATAGCTCATGATTGGTAAAATCACCCTCTACCAGTCACTACCTTTAAAAACTGGCTAAAACATAGGCAAACACTATGATTTCTCAACCCTGCACCCGTACTTGTCGAACTACTGGTATGTAAGACCTTTTCTCCATCTCCTACAAGTTAGAAAAAGAGTGAGGCATACAGTCCCGCCAGCCTTTGTCTAAGTATCATTGATTGAGTACACCGTGGCTTACATCATTAACTATAATCATACATTCTTCTCTCTCCAGCAGCATTATACTTATTCCCCATCATTATTGTTGGTGAAAATCGAATTTTTTCACTTTTTTTTTGGTTTAAAAAACATCTGATTTCAGAATGGTAGCCCTTCTTCTTTCCCACTTTAAAAGAACATGTGACTCAGATGAATCGATCTCAGCTGCGCTTGTAGATGAGGATGCTGCGATTGTCATTGAGATGCTTGTTCATACTACAACATATATGTTATTGAGTTTGTTGAATGCTGTGATGTATTTGTCTCTTTGAGTAAAAGTCGGGATTGATGGTGTGCCTGTGGATGCATACTGGGCTATATGTGTGCGTCTGCATTGAACTTGCTTGACAGGAATGAATATGCCTGGAGGGAATACGGGCAGGCACTAGGGGGTGGTCGATGTGGGTGCCTTGCTCCCTGGGAATGGTGGTGGTTTGGCTGAGAGATTTATTTCCATCTGCATGCATCATATGTATTTCCTTTCACAAGTTCTCTAAGAAAAAAAAAAAGCAAAAAGTTGCTAGGAAGTCATAAATACTCCATATCTTATTGTTATACGTATAACTTACTCTTTAAATGGTAAATGTGCAAGAAAGAGAGGTGTTTTCATGCATTGCAAATGTTTATTATAACCCTACCTTGAAATATGTACATTAACATTCACACATAAACTACAGGTATAGTACTTTATATGATTTTTTAAGGTTAATTCCTTTTTATTTATTTATTTTCTTTTCTTTTCTTGGGGCGTTAAGTACCAGTGATATATAATTATCGTAATCCAAATAGTTTTGCGTGGAAATTGAAAGTCACGCTTAATTACTAGTAGACTCTCAGATTCTTATTCCTGAAATTTGGATTCTGAAGATTGTGAACATGGAAAATTGCAGGCGAAGTATTTGGCTGAAGCAGTTGGTGCTGGGATTGGAAGTTCCTTTCCAGGATTTGTGAAGAGAGTTTTCAATGGTGAATAACATAGTAGAGGATGCTACGGAAAATTTCATTTCAAGCAACCTTCTCTTTTTGGCTTGGGCATTTCTAAGTTTAAAGTTGCAATATTTTCCCTCAATTATTACAGGTTTTTTAATCTTTTTTTTTTTTTTCTGGAAGAAAGTTGTTGGAAAGAAGTATTTCCTGTTGTCATGAAATTGTAATATGAACCAGTTTGATTGGTAATGTGTATATATATGAATAAAAATCCCTGTCAAGATTAGATGAATAAAGTGCTTCATTTCTCTGATAGCTATTTTATCCTTGGTATACACAAGGACATGCTTGGCACGCAGGCAATACCAAACTGATAGACAACGACGGACACGATTTTAATGTAATTTTCTTATTATAATGGGCCATTATGGTTATTTCTTAGTTATTTAATTCAATGCTTAAAATTACATTACGGAGTGGATTGTACAGCTAGACATGATTTTAGCACAAATAACATTTTTCCATCGTGATTCTTCCAGATACCAGGAAAAAAACTAGTAAAAATCTGCTCTTTCTTGCCCCATTAAACAACAGTGTGAAGTTTGGAGATAGACATGATGCTTAGCCAACCATGGCAAAACGAGTACCAACACAATAAGCCATGGCAAAAATATGCACATCCCCCTCAGAATAGCATTATTTAAATGCAAAATTTGAGCTGTAAAAATCCCCGCAAGAACTTGGACTTTAATGTTTTGAGCAGATCAATTCAACCAGAAGACCTACAGAAATATAACGAGTTATCAGGTAAATACTGTATTAACGAGGCTATGAGATGATAGAATTTGGAACAAGGAATTTAAGCATATTATTACCCTTAAGATTTATAGCTGGCAGAGAGGACGAATTATATCTCTAGAACAATATCTGCAATCCCAAAAACAGATGCAATTAGTTCATTTTTACCAAAATAAACCAACACAATAATCGACTCTTTGTGCATAAATTTCTCGTCAGACTTACATTCTGAGTCTGTTTTCACCCATTTACTTCCTTCACTTTCACTATCACTTTCAGGCATATCCAAGTATTTCTTTGCAGTAGTCATTTGAGTAGAACTTTGGGGGTAAATCTTTTTCTGCAGGATAGCCCCTAAAATCTGTAAAGAAAAGGCATCCATGAAACAACAGATCATTGACAGGTTAAAATAAATAATAGACGAAGACTGCATATGTTATATTTGCAGGTATTCGTTTATGATGCATTCTTAAATTAAATCCATACCTTCTCCATTTTTGATTTATCCAATTTTTGATAGAAAATTGAAAAGGAAT